TATCATTGTGGGAAAATTCTACTACCAGTCCTTCATCACCTTACACGAAATAGGGTGAATACATCTTTTAAGGCACCAAGCGCAAATTCAGATTAGAGCAAGATATCAGGAGAAACGGTTTACTTTAAGGGTCAAATAAATCCTTTGGGGGAATTTCATTTCGCATGAAAGTGCATAAAGAAGAGATTCGTAGGTCGATCTCACCAGATGAGTACGAATGAATCGGGTTGTACTGCAGCCGTTTGGCTTTTAAACGGCGTAAAGTTTGACGCAGTCCACAAGACCTTCTCCCTCGTTTCGGGTGAAAACGTGCTGAGCTTTCGTCCATATTATGATGGACCTCATCAGAGCTGGGTCTCATTCCTGAAAAAATCTCACGTTAACATTAGGACAAGTAGAATATGCGGCTCTTTCTTACCTTTTATATAGACTCAATTAAGCAAAATCAAATAAAGAACATAAATATAGAGGGGTTTGGCTAATTATCCTTCATACTGGTTCTGCTACATTTGCTCGACTGTGTATGTGTGTGTGTGTGTGCATGTGTGCGGTAGTGTTCGCGTATATACGCAATGCCGGTCTTAAATCGGAGTTATCAAAAAGCGAATGTCAGGCTCGGATCATCAAGGCTTGATTACCCAAGAGAAAGGCCTGACTGAGACTGCGTAAGTCCGTAAACAAGTATGATTGAGATTATGAGATATGAGCTTGTAAGCATGTAAGTCAAGTTACGAAACCACTTGTCATGACCTCCCAATCTGGGGTCACTAAAGTTTAACCCCGAAAGGAAAGGCATGACTGGGGCTGCGTAATCTGGCACGTCTGGTTTGGTTGATGAGCTTAATGTAATCTAAGATGTTGGATGAGTGTGGGTGAAGTTAGAACCATCATTGAGAAGACCAGTTGGATCGCCTTTTTTTGACGGCCACTCAACACCCTCTCTCTCTTTCAATTTATCAATCAAGTATAAGTAGTTCCTACTCAACTTTATACCACCCTTCATCAAATTCAGCGTATTTTCTAAGCTATTAATTTCACTAGCCTCTCTTATCTTTCTTTTAACCACAGACGTACCATTTCTCAGCAAACCTACTAGTTTGAGAGCAGTTTATTTCATGTCCAGTTTCTACCATGTGTTCGGCGACTTCTGACCATTGGACCCAGCTTCCTTTACAAGCATTTTTGTGTTTTCCCAACCTTTGTTGAATAGGTCGGTATGTCTTACCAGCATAACATCGACCACATGAGCAAACAATCTTGTAGCGGCCGGATCTCTATAATGGATCAAATTTCTCTCTAAAAGATGCCATAACAGAAGAAAGTGAGAGGGTTTCTTTGAACATTGTTTTTATCCCCCACTTTTTTACTAGTTCGCCTATCTTTTTGAGAGAAGGCATCGCGATAAAATTTGGAAATGGAAAAAGGTCGCAGTCTGTCTATCTTTCACTAAATGATCGCTGTCTGAAAATTTAGTAGAGTAGTAATAGTAGTCAGTAGAGTGATATTATATTCAATACGGCCCAAAGGATAATTATTTTCCACTAATAATTTGTCAGCCGTTCCAACTCTTTAGTCAAGCGTTTGCTATCCACTAGACTCATACTTCTAAGAATCATTGACTTCAAAATTCCGAACTAAGTCTTGTAACTATGGTTGGAAAGAAAATTAAGCAAAGAGCAACCAATTGTTGGCTTCCTATAAACATCTCTTCTTAACCTACCCTCTTCTTTAATGATAAGAACATCCAGCAAAGGTTAAGACTTATTCCCTTCCATTTCCATTGTGAACCTAATGTTCCTTTCACACTGTTTAAGCAAAAGTAGGAAACTACCTAAACTTTCCTTACCATGAGGTCAGATGACAAAATTGTCATCCATATATTTAACCAACAATTTGGGGGTTAGTATTGCCTCTTGCAGGAAGTGTTCATCCAGTCTTGCCATATAATTGTTCGCAAAAAATGAGAGCCAGGCAAGATCCCATCGCTAGTCCTTGTGTTTGTTCATATGACTTACCATCAAAGATAAACGTCGTGTAAAAGCCAAACGGCGGCAGTAAAACGGGCTTCAGCCGTCCTCTTCTGGCGAATCGACCTCGGATCTCTTGTTTATGCACTTTCATACGAAATGAAAGTCCCCCTAATAATACGTCTCGCAGAAATAAAACTAATATAGATTTATGGCGGCTACGAGGAAATCATGTGTTTTATCTTGAGGATAAAGCAAAAAAGGGTGTGAAATAACGTCCCAAACGAACCCCTTCGTTTGCACATCTAGGCACACACGTGAATTAAATGAAGAGAAATGAAGATATGAAG